TTTGTCGAGTTATTGCTTGCACTAGCGCGAAGGTTACGAGGGCTGCACTAAAAGTATCGGGAATAGAATATTTTCACTGTTCCTGTCATATTAAATTCTTTTTAATTGAAAACTCCTTGGTTTTGAAAATCGAATACCAATTATTTATTTAAAAAAAGATTCTCGGTCTTGTCACAAGGTTTTATCAAACTTGTTTAGTCGTTGAGAAAATGGAATTGACTCGAGAAAATTCAAGAGCGATGATTTATTATGACTTTCAAAGTGGTTTAACACAAAAACAGTGTGTTGACCGGATGATTTCTGCATTTGGTGATGAAGCCCCATCCAAAACCACAATTTATCGCTGGTTTGCTGAATTACAACGTGGACGTGTCAAGCTCAGTGATGATCCCCGTCAAGGTCATACAAAAACTGCAGTCACCCAAGAAAACGTTGATGCTGTGCGTAAGCTGATTGAGAAAGATCGACATGTGACATACCGCGAAATTCAGGCAACTTAAGACATTGGCTTGAGTCAAATACAAATAATCTTGCATGAACAATTAGGTGTAAAAAAGTTGTTTTCCCGATGGATACCGCATTCGCTCTGAAGAGCAAAAAGCGGCTCGCGTTACTTGGTGCGTCAGAACTCTCGAAAGATTCCACGCAGGATCCTCAAATGCTGTATACAACATCGTATCAGGTGACGAATCCTGGATATACGCGTACGAACCCGAAACAAAAAACCAGTCACGAGACCATCCGCCGTACAGCCCCGACCTAAGCCCTAATGATTTCTATACTTTCCCTAAAATAAAGAATAAATTGCGTGGTCAGAGATTTTCATCACCTGAAGAAGCTGTGGACGCCTACAAAACGGCCATTTTGGAGAACCCAACTTCCGAATGGAATGGTTGCTTCAATGATTGGTTCCATCGTATGGAAAAATGTGTCAAATTTCGCAGAGAATACTTCGAAAAGCAATAAATACATTTATAAATACTAATGTTGTGCACTTCCTTGAAACCGGAAATTTTCAGTGCCGCCCTCGTATAGACATTGTACAATTAATTTACAGTTGGTGGCGCGCGTAAAAAAGTTATATATCATTCAATTTCAATGAATGTATTATCATTCTTAAGCTCTTCCAAATTTAAAATGATATTTCCACAGTTTGTCGTTGACACCGCAAAGGGGCGAACCTCAATTTTTCAAAAATTACAGTAGAACAAGGAAAACATTTATTATTCCCCGCATACTAGCTTTTTTCATCAGAAAATTAAATATATTACACTTAATGGAAAACTTCAAATAAGATTAATTTTCTGATGAAAAAAAGCTAGTAATCGGGGAATAATAAATGTTTTCTTGCTCTCCCTTAATTTTTTGAAAAATTGAAGTTCGCCCCTGTGCGGCGTTAGCGATGAGTTGTTTGTTAGGTGCTTCTGTGGTAGCAACGCGCTGGGTGCCAGCTTATATTCTATAAAAAAGGCGTACTGTTCCCATCCCTTGTCGTGTATCCGAGTTCTTCTGATTAGTTTGATTCATTGACCTTGTTGCATATTTTATTTATTTATTTTGTAACACAACCTTTTTATATAAATTCATTGATTCCCTGGACCCGGAGCTAATATTTCAGGAACTAGTTCCTTCCCTTAAAGTCAGTTTCGATCTAGTAATTTAAAGTGGTTTTAAGCCATTGTTTTAAGTAAACGCGCGCACGCGCGCGCGCGTGTCTGCATGTGTGTGTGTGTGTGTGTGTGTGTGTGTGTGTGTGTGTGTGTGTGTGTGTGTGTGTGTGTGTGTGCATGTGTGTGTGTGTGTGTGGGGGGGGGGGGGTGGGGGGGGGTGTGTGTGGGTGTGTGAAAAAATATACATTATGAACTCAAAGGATCTATGTATTTCCATAATTTTGCCAGTAGCGAAATATGATTCGATCTAAGTTGTTGTATTTACAAATTATGCCAATTTTGATAAAAAAGAAGAATGGAAAACCTTAATGCAACTATATAAGTATTCGAATATCTATATTGAATGCGCATCCACGTTGCATTCGAAACCCGAGCAGGTTATATTAAAAATTATTCTAAAACCTGTTCGACAAACAAACCAGCAACCAAATCGATAAATTGTTTCGGTATTGCAAAACGCATACCGAGTCGACTCTAAACTTAATGCAATTAAAACTATGATAATCGCCAATAATGAGATTAGCATAGCTAAAATATCTAAACTAAAATATCTAAAACATCATTCGAAAAATATAGTTAATTTAGCCAATAATATAATAAGCGGCAATTAGCGCTATGTTGGTGCTCAGTAGATAACCAATTTAAAAAAGCCACTATTACAGTGCACTTGCATAATATCAAATTTTACAAAGCAAAGTTCAAGCTAAAATATATGAATAGCGTTTTAACATTTTAAAACTATTTACATTAATTAAAGCTATTTTTAATTTATTAATATTGACATTAAATTTACCTATATAAGTATTCATCTTTACATATAAAACGAATGATTTTTTGTTTGTTACCTATGCGTTTCTGTACCATTCTTCCAAATACAATGAAACCTACAAAAGTTTCTGACAAAAAGGGTATTGCAAATCATGTCGTACACAACTAATATAATATTATAAAATAAAATAAAAAAACATACTTGTTTTCCACTAAGAAATGGGCCGCATAAATTTTCCATTCTAAATGCAGTTTGAGGTCATATTACGTACAGGGCTGTGTCAGTAAATATTGTAACCAATACTGCCAGACCTTTGAAATCATACATAATCTATATTTAATTTTATGCAGATGTTAAAAATAATAATCTGTTTTTTTTTCTACATCTGATTTCTACTTACACTTGATTAACACGAAATTATCTTGTGCCCATGTTGCAAGCAATCCACACAAATTCAACTGTACAGTCTAACACCTCTGCATCTGCACACATCTCACACACAACATGGGAACTTGCAAACATTTGGATACATTGTGGGAATCTATGCCAGAACGATATATCTCGCTTTATATTAACGTATTGACGCTCGAACAATTTTTACTTGCAAATTAAGGTATTACGGTTAGACGGTCACGTATTTGCATGAGTTTTAATGGGAGTCTTATTGTACTAATATAATCCTCTAGAGTAATTCGAATGAATCCTCTGAATCAATTAATTAATATAGTCACGAAATAGTGACATTAAATAAAAACCATTAAAAACTTATATAACGAATTGTTTTAACATATGTAAATAATAAAATTTTTATATTAGCCATAAATAAATAAAACATATACATAATCTTATTGATTTGTACGTAAATATTTATGAATTCTGCTAAAAATTACAATTTTATTTTTAAGGAAATGAAGCATAAATAGATATTTTTATTAAATGAAACACTTCATCGTTTTTATACGTTATTTATTTAATTATTTAAAATAAAATGTGAATGTGTTTATCCGATAATTATTTAAATCGAATAATATTATCGATCGATTTCGAATGTACTTGCGCACAACACTAGTTTCAATAGGTCGCCTGTCCGCATGGAACGATCCAACATGGCGGCTTTTACTTCACAGTCACTTGGAGCATGGCTGCGTATTAAATATTTTTAAACATTATTTATTACTCTTGATTTTTATACAATAACAATTTTTACACATTATTTATAGTTTTAAAAATATTTAAGTTTAACAAAATAAGTTATGAAGTGAAACGAGTGCTAAAAGTGTGCAGATATTCTAGATCCTTGAGTGACCTTTTGGATTATACTTTCTTTTACCATATTGCTACGTGATCAAAACTACATTAGTGTGAAATTTGTATGAAATTTTGTGGATTTGAAGACTGTGATATAGTTAAGATATCAGTGCCACACATTTTAATCTGATATTCAGGTACTGTGCGAGACGGAACTCCCACGTGGAAATAACTCACGTCTCTATTTATAGACTACCAACTTGCTTCACTAAAAGTGATAGGCGAGATTATTAATCGAAGAAAGGACAATATCTCAATATGTATAGTTTTTAACCGTACAATTGACCTAACATTACGATACCATACAAGTTTTGTCGCCGCGCTGGAGCATTAGGCAACAGTAGATGTAACTGTCCTGCCATTTTGCTATACTATCCTGCTTTATTACTATGAAAGAACATCGTTACTTTATCTATTACCTAATAAATTACATTAGCTCGGTTTTCCATATTGCTTGGATAATCATTTGTGACCTCCATTTTGACAAGCGATTTCTAACTTATGTCGATGAAATACTTTCATTTACTGCATCAATTATCAGAGATTTTCCTGTTCAACTAACAATATGACCATGTTAATTTATTGAGTAATGTATTTTATGCCAGCATGTTTTTACATATGTAATCATTTTGCTTGTTCAAAAACTGTAGCATATGTTGGGTGGTTTTCATTTGTCCTTCTTCCTGTTATTGGTTACTGGTTCTATATTTCTTATATACTATCTTTTTGTTTATAAAACGAAGGTGATAATCAAACTTACAGTTCACCTGATGGTAAGTGCCTACTGCAGTCTATGAACATCTGCATTCAATCTCAAATAAAAAAGGACCTAGATGGAATGCCACACAGCTTGTAATTTTAATGAAGCTTTACAGCCTTCTGAGTGAAAGGGTGGTGCTAATCCATCAAGACTGACTCCTAGCCATAAAAGTAATCCTTAATCTTAGGTAAGTTTTCCTTTGTGTCTTACGACACCCAAGGGACATGTGACACAGGCATGGGGCTGAACAATTTTGTTGATTTCAGTGGTGTTTGAACTTGGGTAACACTGGGAACATATTCAATATCTTTATTTACTTTATATGTTTTTCACGCTAATATATAAGATTTTACAAAATAGTTATTACAATTGAGTATTGCATAATATTTTATATGTTAATTTCTTAAATAATGGCAATTACAAGAGCAACTGAAAATAACTAGTGTATATTATGCATTCTGTGTATATTAATGTGATTATTTTATTATTGCAGTGAGTTCTGTTGATAGTATACCAGAAATTATCAATCCTGCAACTAGTCAAGGCAATCAAGCAATATTAACTGAAACAAAGACTCCAATTATAAGCAAGCAATCATCACCACCTCCAAATCTACAAGTACCACAAACGTCTGAAACTACGATTGAAATTATTGCTAACAATAGCAATAACGAGCCAACATTCCCTGAAACGCCAGCTCCTACTGCCACAGAACTCCTATCAGCAAGTATAGAAAAACTTGCTAAAGAACTGCCCTCTGTTCCACAAACGACTAGTGAAAGTAAAGAAGCGTCCAGTGCAATACAAGCTCAAGCCAAATTAACTCAAAGTATAACGAGTTGTGTACGTGCTCACCCTGAATCTAAGATGAAAGATATTAACCTTAATAATAAGACAACAGGTATGTTTCCTCAATGTTTGGTTCTTTCAATTCAAAACCATATTATAATATTGGTACTTTTTTACTTATCATAAACCAGTGCTTGCCTACAACCCCCACCTGGTGGTTAGTGGTGATGAAATAAATCATACACAGTCTTATTCCAAAAAATTGATTTAGTTCTGGTTTGAACCAGTACTCCTAAAACCGTCTCTGGAGATTGTGCGTGTGTGGTTAAATAGTGAGCTACCGATATAAAAATGGAACAAATAAAAGGTGTGAAAGTTGTTGAAAAAAATAGTGAAACATCAAAATTTTATGAATAGGTAGTAAGTAACACTTTATATCATCCTTATTTCGACTAAAGGGAATGTTCTTATTAATTATAGGAAATATTAGGTATGTACATTTATTACTTAATCAGCACATAGAGGATAAGTCAGTAAGTATGCAAAAAATAATAAAGTAAGTACTTAATGCTGTTTTATGTGTACAAGTAGGTATGATATCTTTGAAATCCATCAAGACAATCATGTTAATATCCATTTTTAACGATTTTAAAAACAATAAAAACAGAACTAACCTCAAATAAAGTAGAACTGAATTTAACGTTTGTTCTATAGATAAACTAGGGGTCCCCGAAGTTTAATTTTAATACCACAGTTAATACTTTAATTATTTAAGGGATAATTCTTGTTTTATAATAACTTTTTATTTAGTTTATGCTTTAAACCTGATATTAATCTCAGCACTATATTTAGTGCCATGTTTTGGAATAAGGCTGACAGTGTTTTAGCATAACTAAAGCATTTTCACTATTATTATTATAATATAAATTTTAGGTTACAATATGGTTTTTCATTGAAAGAGCTGCAGTAATTTTTAATGAATTTATTTATGTTAAGTTATATGAGAAATATTACATTATGTAAAATGATGACCATTTCAAGTGTTGCTGATGTAAATGTAATATTTTAGTTCAATATCTTACATTTATTTCTTAAAATATTACTTTTCTATGCTAGATCCGGACGCTGCCAATGGAAACACCATTGAAGTAACACAAACAAAAACTGAGACTGTGAAAGAAGATATTAACAAAAATGATAAAGTAATAAAGAATACTAAGAGTAGTAAGAAAGGTAATAAAATGGCAAATAATGAAACAAATACTAAAGAAAGTGAAACATATGAAAATGGTAAAGATGAGACTGATAAAGTAAGTAATGAACAGGAGCAAGTCCTGTCTAAGACTGAGGAGGAAGCAGAGAAGACACCTGCTATTGAAAAAACCGAGTCTACGTCGGCTTCAGATCCAGCATCTGCTCCAACTGTCTTTGTACCTAAATACAAATATACTGAAGGTTAGTTTGCTTCAAAACAATCACATTTATTACTTTCTCAGAATTTAATGATCTAATAGGGTATCAAAATAGGTGGTTACCGTCTAAAAATTGACACCCCCTGTTCTCCATTGTCAATTTTTCATGAGTAAGGAAGTGACAGGCAGGTAAAGTGTGACTGTTGAACATGAGACACTCATAAGAGTCAGGGTGAGTTGGGCTTAAACACCACCAATTTGTTAAGACTTTTTTCATTCATTACATTCTTTTAACCTAATTTAAGTCTCCCCCATAGATTGTCTCATGTACCCCATAAGTATTTATATATATTTGCTATAGTTTCAAAATCTAAGCCAATGTTTTTAATTAATAAAGACTTATTTAGAACTCTTAAGCTAGACCTCAAAGAAGAACCGGCAAGAAACTCTAGGGTCTTACTAAATTATGACTTTCAATACAATGTCAAAGGTCAAAAAAATTCTAATTTTAACTAATCTACATTTAGGAACTTATAGCATATCACCACAACCAATTTTATAGTTCATTTTTTGTTAAATAAATTTATATTTATTCCATACATACATACATACTTAATGTTTTTAAAAACAAACCAAAAAAGCAATTTGTTGTGTCAAAATATTAATCTCGTTGAAAAGGTTGTGAGGCCCAATTTATTTATTGGCTATTGTGATTCTTTATTGTTTTGTGTTGTTATTAAGAAGATGCTGTTGCCCATACTCTGTTTCATTTCCCTCTGTTTCCTCATAAGATATTTGAATAGAATAGAATAATTTTTTATTCAATATAGATCACATGTGTAATTCTTATTGAATGTAGTTTTTTACTTTACCACTGGTTCGAAAAAAAACCTCTATCCTGAGAAGAACCAGCAAAAAATCCGGCGGGACTTTTTTTTAAAAAGTAAATTTTTCCTTTAATGGTTGTACAAACTATATAAGTACAAAATTTATTTTAGAAACAGCTTGGAAGCAACCTCCTCATTCCCAGGGGTTATTATCAACCACATATTCATTTATACTATAATAACCCTTTTTATACAGTTTCAACTTAACAAAAGATTTAAACTTGGTAATAGTGTATACTAAGTATAATAAGTGTATACATTGCCCCAAGAATGAATTACAGACTCTGTGGAGTCAAATAATATAGATACAGTATTGGATTTGCTGATATTTTATGTCAGGCAACTTATACCACATGACATATTTTGCTGTAAAGCTTATATTAAACTGGCGCTAAAATGTCTTTTTTACCATTTTTTGGTGATTTTGAAAATAAGGTGAAAATAGAAGTGTCTTTAAATAATGAAATATAATATTAGTGTAGTCTGTTAAATTATTGTGTTATCTGAATCTTAATGTTAATAATTGAAATATTCCGTAAATTATAAGAAAAATATATATTATTTGACATTTTATTTGGAAATAAGAATTTCTTTCTTTTACTCATGAATAGTAACTCTTATTATTGTACTGCACTTAATTTTGTTTCATATATAATAAAACAAATGTCACATTATATCATTAATACATCTAACAATTTATAGATCAATGGTCTCCACTAAATAAGTCTGGCAAAAAGTGCTATGACATTGGATTGTTGATGCAAATTAAGGATGATCCTCTATCAAAGAATAAACCTAATGCGCCTTTGTTAGAGGCCTTGAATGTTATAAGGGTAAGTTCCTTGTACACAGATTAATATTAATTCATTAATTTTTTATTTGTATTTGTTGATCAATACTTAAATACGTTTATCATAATCATAATCATTTATTTCGTGGATCATAAGTATTACATAGATGTTAGATATGATTAAAACATTTGTATGTTTGTAATTGATGGTCTTTGTTTTTTATAGACTACTCCACATCAAGAGCCCCAGCCGTTCAACCCTATCACAAGACCTATGAATGATTCACTATTTCCTAATTTTGCGAAAAGTTCTGGTGTGGGTTCTAGAAGTAATGCTCCACGTGAACCGAAGAAAGATGGAAGAAATATGCCTACCAGTGGTAATTAATATTTTTTTATGTGCCATAAATATATCAGTAGTTATTTGGTGTATAAATAATAGAATAGCCAATGCCAATGTTTATATGTGATGCAGGTAAAGGCAGCATGAAAATGAGCCCAGCGCCCAGTGGCAACAATCCTCACAAGAATGTGATACGTGTGTCCCTAACAAGAGAAGAAGTCAAGTTGAACCAAACTAAAGATGCCTGGAAACCTACCAGGCTGAAGAACGCCAACATGAGTGAAGAAGAATACAAGACACAAGTAAATTTTTTCTTCAACATTAATTTATTTTTCAAAAATATATATCTATCTATACTATAATAAAACTAACACAACGTCTGCTTGAACACGCATTACGCAAAAACCTGTGAACCGATTTGGATGGGACTTTCATTGGCAGATAGCTGATGTTATAAGGAGTAACTTAGGCTACTTTTATTTTAGGAAAATAATTAAAGTTCCGCGCAAAAAAATTAAAACCCATGAAATTCATTCGCAATCAATTCCAATAGGGCGAAGTAGCGGGGAACAGCTATATATTATACAACTTCATGGATTAAAATTGATTTGATTCAGATTAGAAAAGGGATATAACATTTTTCTGAATGATTACTTCAATAGTTCAGTCACTATTACAATTATTTGATAGTAAAAAAGGAACAATTAGAACAAATGAAACCAAAATTTATGTCTGTTTCCACTGTGGGATCCACACATTGACACATGATGAACTGAACTTAGCGTTTAATATCCAGCAGTGAAGTAAATATGGGCTAGAAGTGTAAGAGAGTCAAAATTATAGTTTTCTGTTAGCTTTAGTTCATTAGAGAACTATAAAGGGAAAGGTATTGGCTGCAAAGTCTCTTTGTCTCTTTCTAGAGAATGTGCAGTTATTGCTCAGTCCATTCTCAGTGCCTATTATAAGTTTGGATTGCGGCTTAAATACACATTATAAAAATGGTAATAGTATCTAAGATATTTCACACTGCCTGTGTTAAGAAAATGGAAAAACAAAAAATTCACTGAACAAATAATTGTTTATTGAAGAGAAAAAAATAACAACAAAAATAGTTCAATGTAAAGGAAATTAATTAATAAAAATTTAAATTTTGATAAAATGTAAAACTAGACTTCATACAACTGAAAAGAATATAAAATAATTTCACAGTCTTGTCTAAGACATATTGTATAGAGTAATTAAAGCCCCAACTTCAGAATTTTGAAATAATTTCATATTGTTTTTAGTTGCTTGAAGAGTGTTTTTACCTTTTTATTAAAATGTTAATATTTTAACCCTTTTGTACAAACCAAGAAATATCAAAATCTCAGTGTCGTCAAATTGATTTATTTTATTGATTTGGGTTAGTTTTTTTGTCCAAATTTATAAGGGACTACCCCTAAACTATAAATCTATTTAATTAAAAAAAAGACAGATATTGCATTACATACATACAAAAAAATATGGTTGAATTATTAACCTCCTTGTGTTTTAGTCTGTTAAAAAAATAGTGATGGCAAATATTTTAAAACACAAAATCATCATTTAAATGAAAAAAAAAAACATTTCAATACCGAAAATTACTTTTAAATTAAAATCTTCATTTGAATGTTGCATGATCATTTGATAACCATGTGTTCATTAATTTTCCTCTTTTCTAGGAATTGTACAAAAAATTCAGAGGTATTCTGAATAAGCTGACACCACAGAAGTTTGACACTTTGATGGAAAAAGTGAAAACGCTGGAGATCAACAATCAAAGTAGACTTGAAGGTGTCATCGATTTGGTATTTGAGAAGGCCATAGATGAACCTAACTTTTCGGAGGCCTACGCCAACATGTGCAACAAGCTAACAACGATCAAGGTCAATATTTTACTGTCTTTCTAGAACGTAAAATATACCAGTACCAAATAGTCACAGAATATTCAATCCAATTGTACATATTTCTTCAATATTAATAATATAGCTGTTTTGCAGGTGCCTGCTGATAATGCTCCGCCAGACCAATATGTCAATTTCCGAGCTCTCATCATCAGTAAGTGTCAGAACCAATTTGTCACTGAAAAAGTTGATGAAAACATACTGAAATTAGAGAAAGAAATGAATGAATGCACTGACCCTGTAAGTAAACCACCTCTGTACTAGCCCCTATTTATAGTTTTATCCATGTGTTGCACAATATTTTTTGGCTAATTGATATGACATATAATGCATGAATCTTATATTTTAGAATGTAGGCAATTTCATTTTTGTGTATACCATATGTGTTAGAATAATGTCCATAAATGTTCGTAGATTGAATGCCCTAAAGTAAGGCTCTTAAATCTTTTTATCTTGTCATTGTGAAAATTTTAAAAATACTTCCTGTATCATCATCTGTAGGAAAGATAACAAAAAAAAAACTATAAATATTTACCAAATTATTCTCTTCCAGGTGAAAAAGAAGGAATTGCAGTTACATTTAGAAGAAGAAAGTAGGAAAATGAGAATGAGATCTGTAGGAAATGTCAGGTTTATTGGTGAGTTTTAGCCATATTTAAAGTATAATGTAACTCACTACATTAGCATGGAAAAATGCATTTAAGATAGAAACTTTATTTATTATATATGCTCTGTGCCACGAAAGCATTTATAGTTTGCTAGGAAGTTAATCATATTAATGTTGTATAACTAAATAGGATACGATTTTCTTAGGTATTTTGCTGATTGTCCTATGTATGTTACATAAAGCTTGAGAATGTAAGAGACCAACTTTTAGTAGTTAGTTGGACATAGTCAGTTAATAGGTAATTTGCTTAGATGTTATTGCGGGCGAATGTTCTTAATTATGCTAATGCGAAATTTTTATAATTATTGCGTGTTTTGTTTTTATGCACCCTATTGCTTAGAGATCAAATGAAAAAGACTATACATAGATTTCGATTATATAGTGCTTTGAATGATACTCTGCTGTAAATTTACATTTGGTAAAGTTAAATGTGCAACTATATTTTACAATTATATTTGCTGTGAGCGAAAGTTTAATTCATCTGTAAAAATTTTATACGAAATCATAATTATACGTGGTAGAGCCATGCTGCAGCTATATTAGTAGTATAGTTGTAGCACGAATGGGTCGGCTCGACCGGGGAAGGACCACACTTTTACAGAATACCAGTGTAAAATAGCAGCTTAACACTGCTGTGTTTCGTATGGTGGGTGTAGAGAACCGGAGACCGCTTTTACTGGAAAAGAGGCATTCCATCTTAGTCCTCACGGGTGACAACACATTTGCATTTTGAATTCGCAAAGGAGGATAGATGTAGATGTATATACTTAACGTCAGGTGGACTGTGTGCTCGTTTGTGACCCTATCCTATTATAGAAAAGAAAAATATTTTCATCTAAGGAAATGTATGACGATAAGCTCAATAAACTATCCCCTGACTTATAGAAATCTGTAATCTATTTTTTTATGCAATCTTAAATTCTCATCTTATTTTCTTTCGGCATAAAATCACAAAAATGCATTAGATGTGGAGTTCTAATGCATTTTGCCTATCTATTTAAATCAAGGTCTTGAGTTGTTTTGAGTCACAACTATAGCTATTATTTATTAGCGTCTGCTATGGAATCATTAAGAATTTAACAGTTACAGGTTCAGACAATGCTTTATGTTAATGCATGCTCATTATATATGCATGTAAATGAGCGTTCCACCATTTTATTCGCTGCGAAGACCTTTATGCATATAATATTAATAGCAATAAAATGTAAAACTGATTTTTATTTTAGCTTTCTGCATGTTCATGTGTGAAAACTATGATTAAAATTTTTAATTTAGGATAAATAGTGCATTTGAAGCAAGAGTGGCAGAGTGAAATACATGTTAAATGCCTAAAAATTCTATTTACGATGTTTCATTTTCTTTACCCACTCAAATATGTCATTTGAATGCCTTTATGACCTTACATGACAAGTGATCCAGATCCATTCCTTATTTTTGCACTTAGTTTTCATTATTGCATTTACAACACTTATAAGTTAGTTGAGTTACAGCCTATTATAGGTCCCACTACTGGACACAGGTCTGCTCTCATTACTGAGAGGGTTTTATGGCAAGCAAATGTCCGTCGCGCTGCCCCAATGCGTGTTGGCGAACTTCACGTGTCTTCGAAATATATATTTTTTCTTATTTCTCAGACATGCAGGTTTCCTCACGATGTTTTCCTTCATTGCCGAGCACGTGGTAAATCAGCACTAAAAATTGCTATTAACAATTTCATTGGTGCCGGCGGGGTTCGAACCTGGATTACAACTTATTATTTAATAGTTATTTTCCTGCTGGCTTAGCATAATTCAAGCCCATGTGCTCACTATGTACTCAACAGCATTGCTATAATTATGTTGTGAATGAATTGCCCATACATTCTTACTATGTGGAATTTTACAATGCATTTCCTTTGCAGGTGAGCTGTACAAATTGAAAATGTTGACGTCGAAAATTATGGTATTTTGTATGAATTACTTGGTCGATAAGCTTGAAGAAGAAAAATTAGAGTGCCTCTGCAAATTGCTCACAACAATCGGTGAACAGGTATGATCAAAGTTTTATTTATAACATTATAGATACACAAGTGTGCTCTTTAGTATTAAACAAAAAAAAATAGCTTGTATTTCGTGATATAAACATCTGCAAAGTTCAATGATTTTTCACAACTTTATCAAAAAAGCCAACTGCTGTTACATTACTACAATTAAATACTACAATGTTATTACATTATTAAATTATTTAAATTAAGGTTTTCCGTGTAGTAACGGCATAATAGAATCCATCACCTCATTTAATAAGTGACTATGAGATATGCCAAAATAAATCTTGTATCACCGAATAAATAGTAGTATATAACCATCTTGTTCAAGGTGTAAAATGCTCAGACTAGAATACTAGTACTTCCATCACTCCTTTTCGTCTAAGTTATGGTACCATCTTATTTTTTTTATAGGATAAAGGTGCCAAGTGACCACACAGTCCACCCGATGGCAAGTGGCCACTGTGGCCCATAGACATCTACATCTATCTTCGTTTGTGAATCAAAATGCAGATGCATTGTCAGCCGTGAGGACTAAGACTGAATGGCTCATTTGCATTAAAAAAGGGTTTCCGGTTCTCTATACACTCCATACAAAACACAGCAGCATTAAGCTGCTATTTTATGCTGGTATTCTGTGAGAGCGTGGTTCTTCCCCGGTTGAGCTGACCCATTTGTGCTACGACTACAATTTAATAGCTGCAGCAGCAGCGGCATAGGTGCGAGATGTACTGCGTGAAGATTTATTATTAATCCGCCTGCCACACATCACACATCAACACAACACACACAACATCCTCCTATCCTCGCTATGAGAACCACAAAACCAGAATAAAGAGAACCATGTCATAACACTGCATCTGTTTTATTAAGCATTTATTACTGACATTATAAATTTTTTATGCATAGAAGCAAACATATTTAAATTATAATCTCTATCACAATGGATTTCCTGGTTTAGTGCTCAGCATGTCCTGTGGCACGTAGGCCTCTTCAAGCTGTTTTTATTTCTTATTGTTAGCTTTTCTTGATCCTCCAGATTGTTCCTCCAATATTCTTGATATTGTAAGTCCACCTTTTAGCTTGCCTCTTTATCTTTTGCTATCACCTAGTGGCCATTCCATTATGATTTTTTTGAGGTTTGCATTTCAATTACGTAAATTTCTTTCAGTAAACTAACTAAAATTAAGTGTTCATTCAGCTTGATGATAACCTAAATGCAATTGTTGTTTCTTTGTCACCAGGTGGAGAGTGAGGTTAAAGATCAGCTTGAGCTTGTATTCAAGAAAATGCAAGATATTGTAGAACACAAATCCAATAAAATCAGCAGTCGTGTGCGCTTCATGATCAAAGATGTAATTGAGCTGCGACAGAGGCGCTGGGTTGTGAAGAGTGTGGTTGACTCACAGCCTAAGATGATGGACCAGATTCAGAAAGAAGCTGAACAGCAACAACGGCATATTGAGGTAACAGTTTTTCTTTTTAGGGATTTTTTTATGATTTAAAATGTTATCATGATGGTTATGATGAAACAAGTGAATAGTCAATCCACTTGATGGTAAGGGACTATTGCCAAATACTGAAACTAAATGTAAACAATAAAAAGTACAGATAAATCATTACCTCCGATTTCTAAGAATTCTGAAGGAATTCTGAAAAAAAAGTACAGACAATACAGTGAAAGATTAAATGAATATGAATTCATTAAATCTTTCTTTTATGCTAACTGCTGTTCTTAATCTACATTTTATAACAGAAAGTTTCTAATTTATTCTTGATATTGTTCTTCCTTGGTGAAATACATATACCCTAATGATGCCGTGAGGCGAAACTGGTCAGTTTTTATAATTAGTCTATTATATGATCAAACAAACTTCTTCAAGTGAAGTTTAATCAGTATTATATTAATCGCTTTATTATTCAGATATAATATTAACAATGTAGTTTCCTTATTCTACAAGGCTAAATTGCAACTTTAAAGATTTTTACTGTACTCCCATCAAAGTAATTGCTCTTTTTTTTTTTGGTAGTAATTGGGTAGATAGGAAATTATATCCCTCGAATGTTCATTTGATCATATTATATTACATTTCATCCCTTCATTCCTTAGAATTAATAATATAAATAGAGCATAAAGTTTTCTTTATTAAGTTGTATGACTATATATAACATTAAAAAGACAAATAATCAAATATAATTTATTAGTTCCTTCAATCTATTAGTACTAGTATCTTATTAAGATCCTGTTAACACTTTCACTGTATATTTGCTCATCACTATCTGTCACCCAAAGCTGACAATAATTTAGGGTTTAATGTAAGAACGATTTATTTTGCTTTATCTTCAATTGTTAACTGAGGATGCTCCTCGGAAGGAATGGATGTTACAATGGTGTCATCGTCTATGACCTTATTACTATTCTCAGCTTTGTTATCTACAACCAAAAATAAATTGCATATTTCAGGGGTAGATGACATTAATTTATTATGATAGGAATATAAATTATAAAAAACTGGCACTTTAATATATTTCTATAAGTGTGTTTAAGTTTAGGTAACCTTCATGCTAACACTCTACTAGCCCCCCAGTTAGGATACCTTCATACTGACTCTCAGCCAGACCTTAGGTAGATTTGCCTTTGTGTTGATTCACAACTAAACTTATATTTCAAATGATTACTCAGGCTCTAGAAACAAATTACAGTAAAACCCGCTTAAGACGATTTTGAAGGGACCCAGTCAAAATCGTGACTTAAGCGGGAAAGTGTATTATGCAGGATAGGGAAAATATAACATCATTTACAAATATTGTGTAAGTGTTCAATTATAGGTATACGTAACTTGCTTGTCACATTCGGAAGTAATAAAACAAGCATGATGTTCTTTTCATTCAACATCTTTAGGGTGAGCGGGGCAGTTATCAATGAAGAGAATTATACGTCTACATTTAATCTGGAAGTGATCATCTAAAGCTTTTAACCAGTTAATAAAACGAAGGCCAGTCATCCAAGCCCGAGATTGTGCATCATATGTTACATGGAGCAATTTCACGTTTTTGAAGCAATGTGGATTTTTCGCCTTACCTATCACTAGCAAACATAACCCTTTCCGACCCATCAGAATTTGCACAGGCCAGGACAGTGAGTCTCTCTTTACTTGCTTTGCCACCATGGCAAGTTTCTCCCTTGAAGACATGTGATTTATCTGGCATCTATTTATAAAATAAACTGAATTCGTCTGCGTTAAAAGTGTTACGCGGTTCATAATTTTTTAACAATGCAGAAAGTTGTGCTATCCATGTATCAACATCTTGTTCTGCCACTATCTTCAATTCCCCTCTGATTTGACGATAAACAATGCCGTGACGATTTTTAAAATGATCTATCTAACCATTTGAAGCAGTAAAATCTGTGATTTGTAAGCTTGCAGCAATTTTACGCGATTTTTTCGCATAATATAGAGCCACTTATGGGCAGTTTTAAAGCTCATGCTTGATAAAGCCATTCCACTAAAACTTTCTCTAATTGATCAAACTGTCCTAACTTTTGCTTTTTTCTCTACATAATCTGTATTTTTCGTTAATTTCTTATCTATTCTTTAAAATGGTACGTAACGTTGAAACTGGTAAGTGAAGCTCTGCAGCTAACTCTATTTGATTTTTAGTGTGAGATTTTTCATCAAAAACTTTCAATATCTTCACTTGATCTTCAAATGACAATGCATTTCGCTTAATTGTAGTCATTGTTAACAAAGGCAGATACAATACGTAAGTAAACAAATGATAGAAAATGAATGGCGCGCGACTAATCACTTCAACATAGTTAACTAAAGTTAAAGTGCGCGGGGTGCGCATACACGCAGGGGAGGGATAAGTACGTCACAGGACAGGTAAGTGAGCGCGCTGGGCAACTCTGCTCGTCTCGGATGTTGCACAGATGGCGTATTAGACGGGATGAGGAATCCTATTAGGCTTGTTAAAAATGTATGAAAACATGCTTCAAGTTGCAGGGACTAACATAAAATGGCGTATTAAACGAGAAATCGTATTGAACGTGATCGTATTAAGCGAGTTTTACTGTATTTAATGGTAACACTTACCAAGATTTTCTTCAGCATAAAAAGAATCCGAGTAAACAATTTTCTTTTGGTAATGACCAATTTTATCACTACTACAGCACTGCGTTTCGACATTTTACTGTTTTAAGATAATTAAATAAGGTGTACACTCTGCCTCGTACGAAAATGGAGTGATGCTGTATGCTCGGACAGCAAGAGACGTTAGTGGGACGAGCAATAATTACTTTGATGGGGGTAGAGTAATTTTTTTTAAAGGTGCGACTTATTTAGTTTATGACGGTCTGTTGACGGACTCCACGTCTAAGTGCGTATTTTGCGTGTGGGCAGAAATAATGCTTAGCTATGAAATCTCCCTGAAGAAGTTCAACAGTCACTGCCACGTTACATTATCTGTATTGTTTAAATCATGTTTGTTTAATCGCTCATATTACCCATAATTGATTATGCAGATGTGTGTTACCCAGACCTGTCCCAGGATCATAACGTTTATTTTCGGGCTTCGTATGTATGACAGACAATATTTCACAATATACATAGATCTAAGCTTAATTGGCTTACAATCCGGCAGAGGTGTATTTCCAGAACATTACTTGTTCTTTTTTCATATTAAAATATCTGTGCCCCGCGGTTTCACCCGCGTCATCACGTGTCCGAGGTGCGCGACATGACCTAGTTCAAGCATTTTATAACGGCTAGGGTTTAAGCGTCGTTAGCGCGCCCAGCCAAGTATTGAATTATTTTAATTTTACATTATCTCTTAAACTATGCGTCCAAATAACATGGTATAAAGAACAAAGTTTATCTTCATAAAATTTTCTTGATGATAAAGTAACTTTCGTTCGTAAGGATAAATAGGCCATGCCTAATAATAAAGCTCATAAATCACTTTTAAATTTTCAATACTTTTTTGTCACAAAATACCAGCCTATGTATAAGAAATAGACATATGGTATCGCGGACTTTTTTTTAGAGGGAGTAAAGGTCTATATTTTTCTAGAGCATTGTATTTACGTATCCCTAACGATAACACCAGCGTACGCGGATAAACCATTTCGGGGGTGCTTTTTCTTCTGATTTGCTTAACAAATATCCTAATTTAAGGCTAGCTGAGTGATATAGCTTAGTTCTAGATAGCCTATACTATTCCACATTAATCTGGCTATAATATACAAAAAGAATTTTTCAAATCGGACGGGTAGTTCCAGAGATTAGTGCGTTTAAACAAACAAAAAAACAAAAAAACTCTTCCGCTTTATTATATTAGTATAGATGACTGATTTTCACCTTCTTATCTTAAGGAGTAAATTTCACTATCTCTCCTCATCCCATGATAGGGTTCTACATGCTTCTTCTAACAACAAAATATGTATTCCAGTTCACTTCACCAAGTTCTATGGTAACTCCTTTACAGTTCAGGCTACACGTCTTTGGAACTCCTTGCACAATGACATCAGAAAAGCTCCCAATAAGTTTGCTTTTCAAAGTTGGTTAAATCATCTTTTAAAGACACACTTAGTATATTATAAGGCTGTAGTCCTTATGCAGCCTGTGGCGGCCATACATGCCAGTCTCTGGTAACGTTGAAGCTTCTTTGTAGTGGTGGCTTCATTTGTTTTGATCAAGGTGCGACTTAGCCTTGTAGAATAAGGAAACTACGTAGTTAATATTATGTCAAAAGAATGAAGCGATGAAATATAATAATAATTTAAAATAAATATTGTGAAACAAGGAATAAAAAATAAGATTTATAAAACATAAATCATATGAAAAATTAGTGTTTTTCAAAACTTCGTCAATAACTATTACAAATTTTCTATTTAACAATTTATGACATAATTTGTTGGACAGCTCATGAACGCAAACCCGATGGGCTATGGACGCCGTGACGATGGCGGTCGTGGTAAACGCGGAGGCGACGCTCGTCGGCAAGGCAACAATGCCTTCATGGATAACAGTTGGAAGTCGCCACGTACCAATTTCACTGTGGACACATCAAAACTCAAGGCTGTTACTGTTCCACAGAAGGTAAGGGTAACTTAGTTTAGATGAGGTAGTTACAAAAATTGTAAGATAAGTGTAATTTTGCAACATGGTAGAGCCATGGAGCAGCTATATTATGGTTGTAGAATGAATGGGTCGTGCTCGATTCGAATTCGATCGGGGAGGATCAAACTCACAGTGTACCAGTATATATATTAGCATATGGTGACTATAGAGAACTGGAAACGTTTATTACTAAAATGATGCATTCCATCTTAATCCTCGGGGGTGACAAAGCATCTGCATATAGATTCTTGATCAAGGATAGATGTAGATGTCTATGGACCACAGCAACTCACCATCAGGTAGACTGTGTGCTCGTTTGTCACCCTTATTCTATAAAAATACTTTAGAATACCATATAATAAAAGCATAAAAACTCAACTAAACTACTCAAAAAGTAGTAATTAATAATAAAGTACAGCATAAGAAATAAATATTTGGCTTTTGTATTACAGAATTTTAACAATATAAAGCTGGCCCCTCAAAACAGTGGCTGGAACTATGGCTCAGGGACGAAGAACACTGCACAGGCCAGCAGTAATTCTATGATCAGTCTCACAAAGAACCAATACAGTATGCTTGAGAATGTACAGGTGGACCCCACTTCGCTCAGAGGTTTGTACTGTCAAAGAATCTAAGAATATAGTCTATAAATCTAAATTGGCGATTTTTTTATTATAAAATGGTGTAATTACCAATACTGTTACCGTTACAGCTTATTAGAGTTTACTGCTGAATATAGGCCTCCCCCATAGATTGCCTCATGGGGGGGGGGGACATTTGTCATAGTTGTCATGCTTGGCAAGCGGGTTGACAACTGCAATTATTTACTTTTGTTATTGGGACGATGCTTTTGCGATTTTTTTCCCCTCTGTCGCCTCTTACGACACCCACGGGATGATATGGAGTAGTGGACATTCTTACACTTCCACTACATGGTTGTAATTAAGTTACAACGGTAAATTGCGTTACATTTCGCGCAGTAAACGTTTTTAGGTATATTTGATGGCATGTGACAATGCATTGCTATACATGTTATCCCATTAGCTTGATGTTTGTTTAGTAGGCAATGATTAGTGCAAGCACTTGGTATACAAAATAGGACTTGAAATAGTAGTGAAACTGTGATAACATTGCTAATGACAAACAAAGGTAGTGCTTATAACAACATTTAACATTATATGATTTGAAGTCAATCAGTAAATGTGTTAACAGTAAATAAGTAACATTACATGAAATTTTAAATTTAATCAATAAATTACATTCTCGTACTGGTGACATCAACAAATCAATTGTACCAAGTGTGCAAGTGTTCAGTTCTTATTCTAATGCTTTCTGTTTTCTTCATCAGTCTGTAAAAGTCCACACTTTTCATGTCAAATATTTTACATCAACACATTAAAATAGCAATTCTTTTAAATGCACCAGCCCATGACAGGTTTTCAGACTTCTCATACTCCTTATCAAGGACCTCGCTATGTTTGGTATGGTGTTTTGCATTAAATGAAAGAATAATATTCACTGTTTACAAACATATTGGCTAATAAATGCTTATATTGTAATAAACCAATTTGATTTATGCTTCTGTTGAGTTTAATTCTATAATGCTGTTTTTCATTTGAACTCTAATTCATTAATTATTTGCTCATGTTTATAGAAATACAGCATGCACATAGTATGATTTCTTAAAGATATGTAATCCTATATAAATTTTTGACCAATTTTTAGAATCATAAATAACATAAATTGAACATGAATTGGTCAACCAAACATGTTTGACTTATACATAGAACTTATGGTTTTATTACAATATATAAGTTACTCTTATATTTTTATTACAAAATATGGTTTATTGAGTCTCCACGGTTAAGAGAAGTGCCTCTGTCACGAAAGAACTGCCAGTCTTCATAAAATTTAACAGCTTATTTAGTTAATCTTTCAGTAATTATAATTATTTGGCGACAATCTCTACTCTGTGTGACTTTTTAATCACAGACTATTTAGTGTTTGACATTGGCTTTCAGTAATAACATAAATATATTATTTACTAACTTTGAGACATTTGCAGTATGAACATGAACAAATGATATAATTTGTCCAGTTGATTAGCTAGTAAATTCACTAAAATAATAGTAAGGAAATTTAGTTGAGGTCAGCAATATAATATCCACAGACATTTCATAATCTCTACCAGCTTAGGCAAAAATGCAACATGACTTTTCTGCCACTTTAAAGGTGTTATGCACATGCCCGTTTTTTTACTTATAAGCCAGCGCTTATAAGTATAAAATGCCCTATGTGGTAAATCACACTGTCTTAAAGTAGCAAAGGACCGTCTTAGATAAAATTATCAAAAATGTGCATACAAAGATGTGTATAAATTACCGATCAATTTGCGCATATAATATGATGTTAATAACCATTATTATATATTATTGCTTGTAGCAAGTCAAGATTTGACGCCGAGCTATTCAAAGGGTGCTTCTATAGAGAGGTCAACATTCAACTCGAGAGGTGACTTCAGTAAGTAATGATTGCTTATATTTAAAACTCTTTCCCTGGTATATAAACCTGTAGTGTAGTGCAGTAGAAACTTTCCCCTGCCCTAAAAATCCTCTCAATTTTTTTTAATAACAAGTAATTGATTCTCTCTTCACAAAATATTCCAGTTTTGTGAGAGACTGTTACCATTATTGGAGGTCACTGCCTAATATTGGGACGTAGATAATCCACATATTTTGCATAGTTTCGAATTTAGGAGCATTTTAAAGCTATACTAGCTGACCCGGCAGACGTTGCTCTGGCCTTTCCGACGACCATGTGTCCTAAAAAAAATCATTAAATTCACAATAAAAATATGAGGATCACTTATCGGGATAAAAACTATCCTATCTCTCAAGTTGGACCAAACTGCAGACATTGAAATCAGTTCCATAGTTTTGAAGTTCATCGCGGACGAACAACGTGACACGTAATGTTTATATATAAAGATTGAGTGAGATTGTTTTAAATGTTTAACATATTATGCTTAAAGTGCTCTATAATTAAGACAGTGTCTTTATCAATTGTAATTTAAAGTAAATATTCTTTAATTTTTTAAATTCATTAGTGCATACATTGTAATATGTTTCTAGGAGTATTTTTATTTTTTTATTTTGGCTTATCAGGTCAATAAGAACAATTCTGCTTTATATAAGTCTATTATTGTTTGTATGAATTCCACTTATTTCCTATTTAAAATCTTTATAAATACAAGTTGCGACCATGGTATTTCTATGGCCTTTTTTGGCTGCCCCTCGTTGGGCTAGTGATCATAAGATCATGAGTTCCTATTGTTCGAAGCCTGGATGATACCAAAATCAGTTATTGGTATATTATGTCTAATTTTTAGTAGCAGCCCAGAGTCAGGAAGTTGACAGTGTTTCACCCCTGTTTCTCAGTAAGCCCTTTGCCTTGGATCTCTCTCTCTGGTTGTGTTGGATTGCTGTCCCATCTGACTATAACAGAAGCAATAAACTGCACCTGTGCTTGCGCAAACACTCGTGTACTATAATCCTATCTTGCGCAAATAGTTAGTGACCGAAATTTGGTCTTTGGCATACTATTATTTCTATGGCTTATTTTAGCATCTGTTTTAATAACTTGACTCTTTAATTTCTTGTTAGCCCTTTTGGGTCACACTCTCACAGAACACTTTCATATGTTGAGTGTAGAGAACTGAAGACCCCTTTTAATGGAAACGAAGCATTCCAACTTAGTCCACAGAGTTGACAATGAACCTGTATTTTGTTTTTAATCTATATTAAAAAAAACTTACATTTCCAGACACTGGCAGTGGTGGACGCTCGGGCTCCACCAGTGGCGTGGCGCGCTCGACATCAAGCAGCCGGCCCGCGGCAGTGGAGCCCCCGCCACCGGCACCTGTACCCGCGGAACCCCTCACCGAGGCTAAGAAGAAGTCCGTCAAGTCCGTGATCGACCAGTGCCTCATCAACTCTGACAGCGTTGAGGCAGCCATTGACGTGAAGCAGCTCTTCCCGCCTCAGTACCACGCCGCGGTCATCACCGAGATAATAAACTTGGTGCTTGAGAAGTAAGTATACAAAACAATACAATACTCATTATAGTACACACAAGGAAAGATTAACATATCAGAAATAAATATTGAGGGAAAACAAAATGCGGTGTTACTGCTATCTCTTTCTATAGAACCCAGAAAAGAAAACTTACATAATAATTTAAAACAAAAAAAATTTGTACAACCAACTTCAATATAAATCATTAAGAATAACTCAAAACTATTGGTCCTTGACCTTGATCAAATTTATATGGGACCACGAGACGGAAATTTATATGAGAAGCACCAGCTTACAAATGAAAAAAAATGAATCATCGAAATTGGTCCATCCAGAAAAAAGTTATGAGGTAACACATTAAACAAACATACAGTCGAATTGAGTACCTCCTCTTTTTTGAACTCTGTAGAAAATAAGGGGTATAACAAGTACGGTCACTAAAATAAGAAAGGATACCAGCAACTTATGCATTAAAAGTCAACATACCTTCAGAAGTGGTAGACAAGTGTATTTGATATAAGCAAATTATCATAAATCAAGAACATGACTGCAGAGACCATTATCAATTAATGAAAGGATACATTTGTAGTTGTGATTCAAAAAGCACCCCAAAGAATGCCACAAAATATGGCCCCAAGCCACCTGCATCCATTGAGTTTCTGCATATCTTTCATCAGTTTACTAGTTTGCATATCTTTCATAAGTCTCACTAGTTTGTCACTCAATCAAGTGGGTGGCCTAACACTTTGAAAGTATTCTATTGCCAAGCCAAATCTTGAACGACAAAATCCGTCAACGCTGTTTGGCTAGTCACAAAGCAACAGACAAACATGAATAACATGTTAGAAATTAAGGATTATCTTCTTAAAAACTGTTTTTAATACGCTTTTATCAGCTTCGGATGCATCTATATTTCTATCTATCTATGTGACGGAATATTTTAATGTAATTTTCACCAACTTGTAGATGACTGATAGACTTGAAAATTTGCTTATATCAAGGCCGATGACAATACAATAACTTTATTCTAGTATCCTGATCAGGATCATCAGGATAATGCTCTCTAGTATTAACACAGCTCATGATCAATGCATGCTTTTTTGTTTTGTTAAATTTTAATATTATTTGAACTTATTAACTAATAGTAAAAATAATGTGTAAAGTCCCTGTTAAAATTTTAAATTGCCCTTAGATCTGCGAAGGAAATCGACATGGTGGCGAAAACGCTTCTGCATCTGGTGGCCACTAACACGATATCGGCCGATAACTTCCTTGCGGGAATGGCAGACGTATTCGAGATCGCGCCCGACCTATACATTGATGTTCCCATGCTGTATGATTACTTAGGAAAAATTATTTCACTACAGATTGAGAAAAAGGTAAACATTTGATCTTTATATTGTTATTTTTGTGTAATAGAATATTTTCACATCTTCAAATCATATTTAGTTGAAACATTAGTCTAAATGCTTGCTAAATAAATGAAGACGGTCGTACTCCAATATCAAATAAGAGAACATTGTTATCAGTAGTACAGTAGTTAGTACAACAGTATTTTCTGCATATACAACCATTATTTATGCTATTGCTTACTGTTGACATTGGTAAGAATGAATTTCTAACACTGGTTTTCTTCTTTTCAGCATATCACATTTGTTCAGATATTTAGGTTATGTGAGAAAACAATTATTGCCATGAATCAGGGACATTTGTTCCTAAAAGCACTAATAAATTATTTGAAGGAGAGTATGGGACCATCATTCGTAAAAAGCAAATGGCAAGAATCAGGTCTAGAGTTGAAGCAATGGATGAGTGAGGACCAGGTAAATAAACACATAATCTTAGATTTTTTTTATTAAATTATTCATTACAGCCTATTAAATTCCACTCTTGAGCATAGGCCTCTACTTAGATTCTCATAGGGGGGGGGGGGGGGGGGATATTTGTCATAGTATCTTTTTTGTTCTTTACTTTTTTTTATTTCTGGTTTTTGTTATTAAGAAGACGCTAGTAGACATCTCGTGGTTTATTTCAATTGTCGTCTCTTATGACATCTGCAGCATAATATATAATGTGGATATTCTGACACCGTCACTACACGGCATTTAATTATTAATGAACAGTTCTTACAATAAAATTTTGCTGAATAGTATAATAGTATGAGATTCCTTTATTTGCCATAGGTACTAAAATGGGTACAAGAAAACAAGTTTGAATTTTTGGATGGTGAGAAGATTTGTGAAGAAACAAAGAAGACTTTAACTCCTGCTGAGGTGCAAAGCAAATTGCTCCAGCTTATGAATGCTGATGAGTCATGTGAATGTGTCCGGGGATGGATACAGGTAAGTTCTAAAATTGAAAAAGTATTTGTTTTCATTTGTTCAAATAATTTTAAATTTTTAACTTTGTTCAAGTTGGTAAAAATAAAATAAATAATATTTTCCTTGCTAATTGATACACAAAAAGAATATTTACGTAATTTTCCAGTCTCTGTATGTATAAAATATGCTAAACTTTATTATAGACACTTTTTAAGACTATTATCTCTTAGAAAACTCTCTAAAGTCTTTTGGAACATTGTTTCCAATTACCATATTTATTCAGTGTGCAGTGTATTGTAGTGCCTGCTTAGTAGTATAACATATATAAAATCGTACATTTTACTTTATGCTGACGCGGTTGGAACTTTCGTGCCGCGAATAATATATACTCGTATATATATAAGCGAATACCAGTCACTCCCATATTATGAAATCTTCAAAACTATGCGCTCAATTGATTTGAAATTTGGTGTAATATATATTGTTCTTGAAGTAGACACCCACTAAGAAAGGATTTTGGAAAATTGGATTTTGGAAAATTCAATATTTGAGGGGGTGAAATTGGGTGTTACAGCTTCTTAGTTATAAAGCACATATTTTCAAATAGAACTGAGTGTGTGTAATAACAAATTGTCAAAGTAATAACTCATATTTACTTATTATTGTTTTAGTTCAGTTTTTTTATACAATAAGACAGGCCTCTGATACATACATAAACTCTCATGCTTTTACCTATAGGGGTAGGAAGAGATTACAGATTTCCATTTGAAATTATACTGACACACACTATTCTCGCTTCTTTCAAATTTATACCTACGTTGTAGAACTATGCTGCAGCTATATCATGATTGTAGTACGAATGTTTTTCCCCAGTTGACTCGACTGGGGAAGAATTTGTCGCTCTTAATCAATAAAAAAAAAAAAATATTGAATAAAAATTATCTCATTTTATGTTTATTTTTTGGGAATGTGATGTGAGGTGGTACTGTGTAGGTCAAGACAGGCGAGAGCGCCTGCGATTAGTGGTTAGCGTGGCCTGATATAGGTGGTGGCAGCTGCCCATGTCATGTACAGTTTATCTTTTAGATTGTAAAGTGATGTGATGTGATGTGATGTAACTCTGTCTAGGACAAGGTGGGGGTAGGGAGGGGAGCATGGATGTACTACGTTCACGTCTTTGAGAATGTGTATGTGTGTGTGTGTGCAGGACAAGGTGGGCGAGAGCGCGGGCGAGGAGTGGTTCGCGCGCGCACTGATGCAGGCGGTGTGCTCGCACGCGCTGCTGGGCGGCGAGGGCGCGTGGCGGCTGAGCCGCGAGCGCATGCGCAAGTACGCGCGCCTGCTGCACGAGCCGGAGGGCGCGCGCGGCCGCGAGCTGGGCTGTCTGCTCGCCGTGCAGCAGCTGGTGCACCGCCTCGAGCACCCGCAGGGTACGTGCACTTGTACTGCTGTATATATAGTACTGGAGCAAGTGTTGTTATCCAACAGGTGTAGCAGTAGCAGTACATACATGCAACCGACTTCACTAAGTGTACACAGCCTTGAACACCTGCTGGGTTTGTGCACTTGTACTGTTCTATTGCTACGTGGAACAAGGGACAAACCAATGACTTGTAGTATAACACTAGGTGTGCACCGCCTGAGGCACCCACAGGGTATAAGTAACTTGAATTTGTTTTACTGCGACTTGGAAACAAGGAATAGACTGATTCTGGTGATGAAGATGGACTCACAAATTGTAGTAACACTAGATGTGCACTTTGTATTGTTGTAGAATTGAAGTAGCACTAAAAACGTAGAGTCACGCGGCAGCTTTTGCTGTCGCACGGATGGGCCGGCTCGAACCGGGGTGGTACCACGACCTCACAGAAAACCAGCGTGAAGTAGAGGTTTACCTCTGCGTTTCGCTTGGTGAGTGCAGGTGGCCGGAGGCCCTTTTTACTGGAAATGAGGCATTCCATCTTAGTCCTCACGGGTGACAACGCATCTACATTTTGATTTGTAATAGCGGATATATGTAGATGTCTATGGGCCGCAGCAACCACTTACCATCAGGTGGACTGTGAGCTCGTTTATCACCGTCATCCTATTAAAAAAAAAAAAACAGAATAACAAGTTTGAGACAGCAAGTGTGACAGTCCATGAATACATAAGAAACTACCAACATGCAATTGCAAAAAAAAAAAAAAGTGGTACATGATAAGTGCTGCGTGCTTACAAACTGCACTCAAGCACACGCAGAATACAGCCACTTAACTTTGTTATAATTTACTGTGTAGTGACAATGTAAGAATATCCACTACCCCATATTTACCCCATATTTAAGTGTTATAAGAGGCAACAAAAAGAAACAAATCAGTAGATAGGCAACAATATCTTTCTAATAATGATTAAAAATACAATCTATGATAGCCAACCGTAATGTCTATGACAAACATCCACCTATAAACCAATCTATGGGAGAGACCTATGTTATTCAGCAGTCGACTTTAATAAGCTGTAATGGTAACAGTAAGATATTAACTGACAACTTGTAATGCACTAGGTGAAACAGTCCAGGGACAACTGTAACTTTATTGAAATGACAAACAACAGCTTGTTTCTAGCACCTACAGTGTCAGAACACTTTGATTTCTTGTACTGGAGCAGGGGACACACTGACAACTTGTCTTGCACTAGGTGGTTGCTACACCATGTAGTAAAATATAATATTTTTCATGTTCAATATTTACCAGATGTAAGTAGTGATACATCTGAAGATAGCAAAGCTCACGCAGTTAGCTTAGCAAATTTTTATTTACTCTCGTTTTGAAGACACCAGCATTGTAATCGGATAATAAGACAGATGTTGGCAAATTATTTCACTCCTTTGCTGTGCGTATTACAGACGACGAAACAAACCGTTTGAAACTAAATGTGTGACATATCGAGAACAAAGTTGTGGAGACCAACCAAACCTCTGGTTGTTCAATTATGAACTTGTCATTTTATATATTCTATCCACAATCACTGGTTTATATCCGGCTCGATGAACAATGTTAGAATTATTGGTATTTGGATTATGTCAGTACAGACATGCATGAGACAAATTATTTTGTTGCAATTATATTACCATGTGAATAAAATCTTGCTCTTGTTTCAGGCCTAACATTAGATATATTCCAGTACTTGCATGAACAATACATAATTTCCGTAGAAGGTTTCATTGCATGGGAAACGACAGAAAAGGAGCCAGAAGGCAAAGGTGTGTATATTTAAAATTTAACATAGTTGTTATTTAGATTTTTTTATTTCTTAAAGGCATTTTCACATATACAGCCTAGTCTTACGTTGCGGCAGTTTAGTACATTAGAGCAGAGTCTATAGTAATAGTGGTATCATAAGGTGCCAAAATAGATGCAATAACTTGAGCCTTATATATATTTTCCATTTCCATTATATCCATTTATATTTCACCTGTGTAGTTACTGAATAGTGGCAGTGTAAGAATATCCACTACTCCATATCATTCCGTGGGTGTCGTAAGAAGCGACAAAGGTAAACAAATGAAAAAGGAGATACTAAAAATAAAAAAAACTGCGGTTGCCCACCCGCTTACCAAGCGTGGCAACTATGGCAAATATCCCCCCTATGAGGCAATCTATGGGGGAAGCCTATGTTAAGCAACGGACTTTAATAGGCTGTAACGGTAACGGTGCCGATAGCAGACATGCACAACCTCGCCACAATGCAGTCAATTCAGCTAAAATTATTTATTTTTCGTTATTTTCTTATAAAGAACCTATATTCCAATCAGATATCATTAATTGTTATCGTCATGTTTAGCAGGCAGATGCGCGAACTCTGTATAATATGTCGTTGCTTGTCTTGGTTCTTTCTCTCATCTTCATATTGGAAATGGGCAATTGTCCACTGCTGAAAGTATTTCTTGTAATCACAACGCCTGACCATAAGAGCCAGTTTCGCATCGCTGGTGCTGCTTCTGGGTATTTTATATCTTGTATAATTATGTACATGTTATACCTTACAAATGCATAGAGAAGACATTTTAAATGTTAATTGTTACTTTGAAATTTTAGCTAATAGTACGGCTCTCTAAAAATCACATGTTCAATTTTATTTATTTTCCAAAAAAGAAATAGGTACATGAAATTAAAATATTACAAAATTTCATTTACATAACTACTCATGTCTTAAACAATAACCTAGTTTATTCGACAAACAGTTATTGTTAATACTGAATATCAAATTAACTGACTAGTATTTTTTAAGTTTTTCTTCATCTATCTGTAAAATTTTACTGCTGTAGAATGCTGAAGTACCAGACATCTCACACATAACTTTAACACTGGTATATCATATATTAATGTATATTAAAAATCTCGTATGTGTGGCATTGTTACTTTGAAATAGAAACTAATAGTACAAAATGCTTGCGCCCGAAAAATCACATAAAACCACTTGTTCATTCCGAATGTCAAATTTAGTACACTAATATATTATATGTTTTTCTTCATCAATTCGTAAAATTTCACTCCTGGATGCTGATCACCAGTTGACCAGAACCAATCACCCTTCGCAGCCACATCGGCACCGGGTATCTCGCATCTTACCTAAACACTCCTGGCATATCATATATCAATGTTTATAAAAAAATGTGTTTATTGCAGCGGTTATGCTGAAGGCGCTTACCTCGTTCTTCACCAACATTAGGGAGGCAGACAACGAGGACTCCTGCAGCGAGGACTGACGCGGGGAACAATCGGCGGTTTCCGGCCCCGCCCCAGACCCTGACTCTGAACCTTCTTCACCACCCGCCTACAACATCTATATTTTTATATACTAGCGACCCCCTCCCCACTTCCCCTCCTCTTCCTCTCCCACACTCGGAACTCGTAGATTATACTATTATTATGATAATGCTTAACGGAGCTAGAGAAAGTTGTATAATATTTTTTAATGCTATAGTTATTTATCGAGGTTCTAAATGAAATTCGCTTCAGATTTTTAAAATGCGTGCGAGATAAATTTTATATTTGTTGACTGTCGTTGTGTTCGCGTTTGACGAACGGTCGTTTGTTGTTTGGCCGGGCGGTTGTTGTTATTTTTTTACCCGCGCCGGATGCTGTTGTCTCTTGAGACGTTCCCATGTCGAGGGTGGAGCGCAAGGGAAGAGAAAGCGGTCCTCTTTCCCGGCGCTCCCGATGAAGTCCGCTGTGATTCCGGGCGAATCCCGGATAGACGAAGCGATTGGATCGAATTCCGTCTTACGTACGTATCGAATACGTACGAATGTTGGACGTAAGCCACATGAACCGTTTTTGCAATTAACATACAAACACGTCACGTCAAACCAGCGGTGACAGTCTACCACTATTTGTAAAGTAAATTAAGAACGTGTAAGGAAATATATTTATTACGGTTGTAGGCGACGCTTCGTAACCATGATTTTATATCTTAAAATTATGAAGTAACAGACGGAGCGGCCAACCGGGACTCTGAGAACTCCGTGCGACAGAACATCTTCCGCGCCTACTTATATAGGATACGATAGGTACTACGTATGTATTATAAAGGTTAAAAAAAAATAAGTTGCTTACAATGAGCTACGATGGAACGGAACCCGAGACACGGCGTTCCGTTCGCGTCACCACGTCGTTGTGACTTCTATTAAAATATGTTGAAAGATTATATTTAACGGTGTATATGTATATTCTCTTTGTTTTCTTTACATAGATATAGACGGCTAACTTTCGAACTGAATAAAGTAAATTAAATGTAAAAAAATATAGATTTGCATAAAAAGGAGAAAAAAAAAGTATCGCGTCGAATTCAGTTGATTTTTTATTTTGATATGAGAATTATATTACTAAATGACATAGCATCGCTTCGCTAAGGTAAAATTGTGTTAATCATTTTGTTATTTTTACCATTGGGAATTTTCGATAGCACTCCATTAGAAAGTTTTTATCGTAACTTTTTATTTTAAAAAGAAAATATATATTTTATTGTTTAGTTTTAACTATACTAATGATAGCGCCTCAGTAAGCCGTGAACACTTGTCTCAAATCCTTGGCGACTGCCCACTGAGCAACTGCCCCCTCCCCTTGATTCCGCTGCTGAGTTTATTTTTATTACTATAACTACTCTTGTCAGTTACTATGTATGTTATGTAAATAAACTTTTTATGAAGAAACTCGAGTGTTGCTTTTTTCATTTCTTGTTGCATTGGCTACACGGACTTCTGCCAATGAAACCCTGAAACCCTAATACATTTTACAAAATTAAAATATTTTTAAAATTTATTTAATTCTTTAAGATTGAATGATCTCATATTGCGATTGTTTTGGAAGGTTTTGAAAGCAGCTGAAGCCGGCAAACAGACTATGGCAAAAGTAAATCACTACCTTCGAAGACAAAATGAGGTTTTAAACATCAAAGCAAGTTTTCATCGTTTTAAGTAAGATGTGTGTCTACTCTCAGAATCACATCATGCATTCTGCGGACAATATACTAGCTCTTTTCAGAGCTCTGTTTTATGAGACGTCGTCGAGTGTACAAATATTATTCATATCGTGTGATTTTTTAAAATAGAATTAGTTTGACAAACGAGAACGCAGTCTAACTGATGGTAAGTGGATGCTGTGGTAGATTTTCACCTTAAAATTTAATAATAAGGAAAGACCACCACATTGTTGTGCAGTTTTGGTTGTCATTATAAACCGAAGATTTAAGAGGCATTAAGAGGTCTTATAGTCCTTATAAAGTTGTTGAAGAGTATGTTTACCTGGGACACAGTCCGACTAGGTAAGTCTCAGTTCGATCGAGAGTTCAATCGACGGATTCAACTCGGCTGGGCAGCGTTCGGGAGATTACGACACATCTTGTCAGGTTACCTGCTCTGTGGGTATACCTCAAAACTTTAAATTCAAGATTTTACAAACAGTGTGTGTTGCCACTGATAACATGGATATGTGACGTGGTCCTTTGCTGCTGGTCGTACGAGGAAGCTCAAGGTCGCTCAGCGAGCTATGGAGAACCGCTCGGGGTTATTCTGCGTGATAGACTTAAAAATGAAAGTAGGGAGAACCAGAGTAACCGACATAGCCCAACGGATTGGTAAGCTGAAATGGCCAGCCGTATAGCTCAAAAAACCTACAACCGATGGGTAAGAACGGTTCTCGAGTGGCGGCTTCTTACCGGTAGATGAAATGTAGGGCGTCCCTCCACAAGATGAATTGACGATCTGGTAAGACATGCGGGAAGTCGATGGATGCAGGTGGCTCAGGACCGCGGCATTCCTTGGGGGAGGCCTATGTTCTACACAAACCTGTTAGATAGGGTGAACTAAAGAAATATTTTTACAGATGGTAAAAACTAATGTTCTTCCGCGGCGTGTAGTGGGTTTTAATGGAAGCTCGCTTCAAGATGTAGTCAATCTTGTCTGTGACTCCTCTACAGTACAGTACTACTGACATGTAGTACTGCTATTATTTGTCAAAGGTACTACTACTACCGTAGTACAACAGGCACACGCTCGTCTGTGGCCGGAGCGGCGTCGCTTGTTCACTGTGACGTAGGCGCGGGAACTGAAGCTTATTGTGTCTTGCAATACTGAAGCTGAAGCCCGGCGGCCAGATGTTTTCTGTCACAGATCCCTCGTGCTCTCCGAAACAAAGAATTTCTCACGGTAGCTAACTGTGAAGGATTGTTGTAAGATTTACTATTTAAATATCGGTTAGTCTATGGGTATATTTCCTATACACGGTGTGATTAATAGTGTTATTAGGAATGGGAAATAAAGGGAACGAAAAGGGACCGAGCACGCTAAATATATATGTAAGGTGTTCCAAAAGCTTAAAGCTGTAAGTGAAATAGATTTTTGAGGTAGAAGGATGCATGTACTGATGTACGATAAAATAGATTGTTAGAAGAACGAAGGTGATTATCGTTAGAGGAAGAATCGTTTGTTTCTACAAGCACAAAGAGTAGGGTAGAATTGACGAGAAGCCCCCCCCCCCCCCCCAATTCTACCCGCCTATTACCTTCCCGATATGACGGCTTGAACTGCAGACTCCTATAATATTGTTTACTGAACGATGCCCTGCTCCTTAATCTGACAGAAAGACCGATCGAAATTTATAGCCCTGAATGCCATCAAAGTATGAGTCAGTTGGTTCAATTTATTAATAAGTACCTAATCAACAGGTACGAAGTTAGGTACCTACCTACTTAAATAAAATTTAATAATTAACATTTTTTATAGGATACGGTGACAAACGCAAAGGTGTAACATGGACATTACACAGTTTGTTTTGTCCCTGTTTATCTTTCTTTTAGTTTATTTTATTAAGGATAACAACACAATCTAACTAGAAACACTCCCGCGTCAACGTATATAACTAAATACAATTTTCAAATTAATTTAAAGTATGCCAATTACAATTATCCATATCTTATTTTTTTATAGGATAGGGTGACAAATGAGCACACAGTCCACCGGATGTTAAATGGTTTCTGTGACCCATAGACATCTACATCTATCCTCGATAAAGAATCAAAATGCAGATGCGTTGTCACCCGTGAGGACTAAAATAGAATGCCTCTTTTCCAGTAAAAGGGGTCTCCGGTTCTCTACATTAACCATGCGAAACAGCAGTGTTAAGCTGCTATTTCACACTGGTGTTCTGTGAGAGCGTGGTCCTTCCCCGGTCGAGCCGACAACTATACTACTAATGTAGCTGCAGCAGCACGGAAAATAAGAAATACATTTTTTTCCATTTCTTTTTGATCACCCTTTTCTTATAAACATTCACGTAGTAGCGGTATGCTGTGAATAAATAAACCGCAGCAGCCGTTAGCGCATCAATATCCATTTTTGATAAATTCGTCCGCACATTGACCTGAACCGAAGCAAACTGAATGACCTTCCAACGTGTGGTCGCCATCACAAATTCTTAGCTAATATCTTTGTTCATATGGGACCACACGAGAACTATCAGCTTTCATATAAAAAAAAATCATTGAAATCGGTCCACCCAGTAAAAAGTTATGAGGTAACACGCAACATACGCGTCGAATTGAGTACCGTCTCCTTTTTGGAAGTCTGCAGAAAATGTTTATTTTTAACCAAAGACATTTAAGTAGTTAGTATACCTATATATTTAAATCTCTTTGTTTTTAACAGATTACAATAACATTACAAAGTTATAATGCAACTAGTTCTAGGTCTTTTTCTATGAAGTTGTAACGAATTTTTTACTAATCCAAGTGCATTTTACATTAACAATTGAATGTACCTATTGAAAAGTTATTCTGTATTAAAACGTTTTGGAAAAATCATTATTAATTATTGCTGATGTAGACTGAAAACCAAAGTGACATACGTAATTATTTTTCTGGGTCGACATAAAAATTTATTGTTTTTATTTATCACAGACCTACTCAAAACTTTACCTAAGCAAATTGGGGATAATGCCAATTTATTGGTTATTTTCAAACCGGATGATATATATTTAAAACACATTTATGACGAGGGTGTCAATACTGATATGAGTTGGCATAACTTTAAATCATTGGCTATTGGTATATGGAAAGAAAAATATCAATAACAAAAATAGAAACATATAATGATAGTGTACAATGAACAATTGGTTTTAAATCAAATCAAGTAAATCAAGTTATAAAGAGCAGATATTGCAAAAATATAAACGTGTTTTGGTGAAAATATCCATAATGGGATTAAAAAAT